AGTATCAAAATTAAGGAGAGTTGGGTCATCAAAATCTAGAAAGCAGAAGTTACACTCTTGTTCATCTCCCTGGGCTAATTCCAGAATTCTATATTCTAATATCATATTGGCTTACTTGTTCTTTTGAACAATAAAAGTCTGGAACTTCTCTTTAGTTTTTTCTTTTACCTTATTTACTAATTTTTTGAGTTTGCACAATCTATTTTCTTTTTGTTCCTTTGGTAAAGATGGTAATTCTTTGATTGCTAAATAATCTTTTCAGTTTATTTCCTGATTCTTAGCAGCTAAATTATTTTCTAATAAATCTATTTGGTCTTGAGGTTTACCCATTGCAGTATCATGCTTCAACACAGTTTCAAACATTTGTCATTTTCTCCATTCCATGGCCTTATTTAGTGCTTTTTCAGCCTCTTCTCGCTCCATTCATACTTCATCATCTAACTCTTCTACTCTTGCTTCTAATTTCTTAATTTTTTCAAGCAATTCATTCCTCTCTTTCTCTAAACTAGTTGCTAGTGGCTGTAGTCTTTTAACTTCTTCATTAGCTTTTACATATCAATTTAGTGCATTTTTATGCAAGTAAATAAGATGAACAAAACTTTTTCTAAATTCTTTGTCTTCTAAGTGTTTTAAGGCATAAGGGTGAAGTCAAAAATAATCTATAACTGCTCTTATCTCTGTTTCATCTGGATTTCTGTTTAAACTACCAATTAGTTTTTTTATTTCCTCTTCAGTTAAAATGTTGTTTGGTTTGTCATTTTTATTATTATTATTCTTCTTCTTTTTTTAATATACTTATATCCTTTTTATGAGGGCATATTAAGTATATAAATTATTTTAGTACTTTTTTACTCTAAAACTAACCATATTTGTCAAAAGATTAAACTTATTAATCTTAATGATTTTATTTGTTGCCAGTATAGAATGGTCTTGGACAAGTAATATCTTTGAATTCATCTCTAACAAATGGACGAATATTCTGGTAAAGATATTCTTGTCTTTTGTAATCCAAAGGAGGAGGTGTTAATACTAAAATTGATAAAGTTCTAATTTCTTCAAAAATATCTGTTTTCTTGGTTTTCAATAAATTGAATTCAGCAAAAGGTCCATTAGCAACTTCTTGAACTTTCACTGTACCAAAATTAGATGCTTCAAAAAGAAAATGTTGACATTTCTGTATACTTGGTAATTTCTTGAAATAAATTCCCAAAATAGCTTTAATATCTAAGTATTGAAAACCTTTTCCACCTTCATAACATTGAGCTTTATTCAA